CTCCATTTTATGTTCATTGAACACAGCCACTCACAACCAACCTTGGAGCCAACCGCTCAGCATTTTGGCAAGGCCGAGAATCACACATATATAAAATCTTTTATTTGTACCCCTTTATCGCATTATAATAGCGAGCGTAAGGTCTGCTCAATGTAGTATTTAGGCCATGAGCCGTGCCTTAGCAACGCCTAAATTATCTTTTACTGCTGTCAGATTATTCTAGTTTTGAAACAGAATTTCTCAAATTTTGCTCTGGGCTACAACTGCTATTTTTGCACTCAGTTGTGATTGTAAAGCTTTGCAGCATTTTCGTAACTGCGAAAATTTTATTATATTGAAACTTCTACTTTTTTAGCATTGAAATCTAAAATTTTATTATAATGATTGAATAAATGTGAATGATGAATTTTGAAAAATTCTGTTAAACCATTTTTGATTTCAGAATTCACCTAGACTCTTCAAATATCAACAAACGTTCAGTTGAATATCGGCATTGCTTTACAATACTATAAAAGCTTTGCATTATTGAAATAGTAAATTTATTTCGAGGAAATATAAATAATTAATCAGAGCAATTCATCGTAATCAATAAAGTGAACTTTACAAATGAGATTATTGAAGCAATTTCCGTGTTGATTTTTTAAACAGTCAGATTTTGCAGTTTAACGAAATACAATCCGAAGATTTGAGATATTTCAGTGTTTTGTTTTCTTCACATCCTCATCATTGTGGCTGTGACAATAATATAATTTGCATGTTCTTGATGTTGTTGCAATTTTCTTCTTCATTTTTACTATCATGTTGTCATAGTGACTGACTACTTTGGTTACCATTGAAGTAGTCATCGTCATCACTATTATTATTGTTAATAAATTAAAATAATCGTTAAACTCATTTCTATTAATTATAAATGAAAAGTATATTGGAATAATTATGATATTTAAAAAACACAATTAGTAATTGAGAAAGTTTTTTCAATAAAAGTAAGAGTTCTGAAAACAGCACTGACAATTAGCCAACTATATTTACCACTAGTTCAATAAACTGTAGTGGAATAATTTTGCATTTAATTTCTGCCCTAATTTAGTTCGGTTTTCTGTATAATATAAATTTTGCGAGCATCCATGCCCTATATTTGGCAAAAGTTAAGTGAATTTGCATATTTTGCACAACACACTAAAACTGCAAAAAGAATTTTAATTAATAGGGACGACGATGACTACTTCATTCATTCATTTATTTTTTTTTTTTTTGTAAAAATTTTTGCAGTTTTAGTGTGTTGTGCAAAATATGCAAAAATTTTTACAAAATATGCAAAAATTTTTACATAATATGCAAATAATTATTGCAAAATATGCAAATAATTGTTGCCAAATATGCAAATAATCTGAAATTAATAAATCATGGGTGAATAAAATGTCAGTCATTTTTTCACAAACGCTTTGAGGAGTAAGTTTTATGCTTTTAGTAGTCTTAACATTTGCAAGTAATTGCTTTTTTAAGCTGCAATTCGTAACGATTTTGTTTAGCATTTCCGGTTTGCTTGAAATATTCTTGTAAAAAGTTGCTTGGCTTATTTTTTAGCGAAAAAAATTCTTACTCTAAACTATTAGTTCAAATTATTGCCTATATTGACAATTTTAATCTTTGATGCGTACAAATCTTATTTCTTTATAACTAAAAATTAATATCAGATTATCAGTTCGGTCATTTAAATTCATCTTTCGTTACTTTTGCAGAGGTTTTGTATTTTCGATTTGTTCTCTTCGCTTGTCAGTCAATTGGCAGATTAGTAATCAGTGTATGAATTACAGTAATTTCAAATTTTCTTCAAAACTTTGAGCAAAAATCAGTGCTTAGCATTAATCGCAATATTTCATACCTATAATACTGTTTTCAATTTATAAATATTAATTTTTTCTTATAAATATTACATGATCATCATGACATGTCGCATAGGCACAGTAGTGGTAATTGCAATAATAATATTATTATTTGTATTCGAAAAATTGACTAATTATATAATGTTTGAACTTTGCTAACAATTAAGAGAGACGTTATCGCAACTTGTAATTGCAATATTAATATTATTTTTTGTATTTGTCTTTTTCACAGTTTCGGTCTTTGCATACTTCTTGTATTTCATTGCTTTCAGTCTTGCGCAGTTCGTGCTATCGGTAAATCAGTTAATTTTCAATATTGAACTTTACTATTAACTGATTATCATTATTTGCATTCATTAAATAATGATAACGATTGTGATCAGTAAATAGTAAGGTTCAGTACTTGAAATGAAACAAATAAAATCTCTAACTTAGTCAGTACTTTACTTTTGAGGTTTTGAAGAAACGTTTCTCCAATACTTCAAAAAACCCTCCAATTTCAGCTTCATCCTTTTTTATTCTTATCTAATTTTATGAACATTATTACTTTGGCTAATCTATTTTTTATTTCTTATATATTATTTGCCATAGATATTATCTTGTGATATTACAACTTTTGGCATTCTATTCTGTGCAATTTGAATTTTTTTGTTTTTTGGCCATCCTACGCACAATTTTAGGCTGTCTTCACTTCACTTCACTTCTCTTCACTTCACTTTGCTTCACTTCACTTCACTTTGCTTCACTTCGCTTCGCTTCACTATCATACAAATTTTTTGAGGCTGAAAAAACAAATTAATGCTAAACTAATCACAATTACAGACTATAAACTCAGTTTGACTATAAACTCAGTTTGATAAGTATGCGTGAAATCGTTCATATTCAAACCGGTCAGTGTGGTAATCAAATTGGTGCAAAGGTAATATTGGACTACAAGTACTTTTAAGACAAATTTGAAACTGATATTCTAAAAAGTTTTTAAACTTTTTGTTTATTATATTAATCAAAATATTTTCCACTGATAAGATAAGTGGTAGATAATTAATCAGTGAATTATTCGAATTATTTTTGGCAATTTGGTATATAGTTTTTTTAATGATCTCGCAAATATTTCATGTCTAAATAATTTTGCATGAAAATTTGCCTTTTCGGGCAAACTTAATCTTAATGAGACAAATTTTCACATGGAAGTGCCATTTTAAATTTATTGTATTTGATGCCAAAGTTGGTTTATAGTTTTGGGAAGTTATATCAGATGAACATGGCATTGATCCTACTGGTTCCTACAAGGGTGATTCTGATTTACAATTAGAACGTATTAATGTTTACTACAATGAAGCAAATGGTATGCAAAGCTTTTATTACTATTATTATTTTTCACTATAATAATGATAATAATTACAAGGATAATAAGATAATAAACACTGCTATATAGGCTTTATGTACTCCAATTACTAAAATGATAATAATGTAAATATTAAAAAGCATTGTTATTTATCTCTTCGAGATATATTTCTTTATCTTTGAGCTAAAGTAAATACATATTATTAATAATAACTTCAATTTAGGTGCAAAATTTGTTCCACGTGCTTGTTTAGTTGATCTTGAACCCGGCACTATGGACTCAGTTAGAGCTGGACCATATGGACAACTCTTCCGACCCGATAATTTTGTTTTCGGTTCAAATTTTTGTGACGTTTTTTATTATTTTCTGATATTTGATTTTTCTTGAAAAAAAATTACAAATAATAGCTCTCAAAATGTTAATTTTAAATTGATTTAAAAAGTTTTCTTATTATCATCATTATACTTGCTGAAGGCTAAACACTTAGTATAATTGTTTATAATCTTTACAGTAATAAAAATTTTAGTTTAGACGTTATTTGCTAGACCGTTACTTTGCTTTTAAAAATTTAATCGCATAATTATTTTTAATTCCAATTCTATTCGTAAAATTTATAACTTTTGATGGTATGAAAAATTTAATTTTCTCATTTTTTTAGTAGTAATTAAAATATGCCATTTTATGTCGTTAGTTTATTTAATCACTGTAATACCAGTTATTAGTAAGGAGTTTTTTGTGGATCTCAAAATTTTCTATATATTTGGCTTAATATCGAAAAGTTGGAGGTCAAAGTGGAGCCGGAAATTGTTGGGCAAAAGGCCATTACACAGAGGGGGCAGAACTTGTCGACAATGTTTTAGATGTTGTTCGCAAGGAGGCTGAATCATGTGATTGTTTGCAAGTAAACTATTTCTGACTTGAATTAAGAGAATATGGATATAAACTCATACAGTGTTATTAACTGTATTTCGTTTTGGTATACAATCAATTTTAGAATATTTTGAACAATTAAATTGAACGAAATGTTATGGAAAAATCATTTCTTTTAAGTAACAAAAGTTTTTCACAAAACAATTCCAATAAACTTTTATTGTCTTTTAAGGTTTAATCGCATAACTATTTTTTATGTTTCAAAAAATTTTTTAATTTTCTAAAAATGTTTGATTAAAATTTCATATGCAAATTTTAAAGGGATTTCAAATGACACATTCACTTGGTGGTGGGACAGGTTCCGGCATGGGAACTTTAGTGATTTCAAAAATTAGAGAAGAATATCCAGATCGAATTATGAATACATTTTCTGTTGTGCCATCCCCAAAGGTTCGTAATGAAAATTTTTTCTGATGTTTGATATGTTTTTGTAAATTTCCCATTTCAGTTTTCATTTAACTTGTTTGTAATAGAGAGGAAATTTAAATTAGTTCAGTTTTGAATTGATTTACCTAATCTTTCTTAAAGTAAAAAAATATTAAGTTAAAAAGTTTTAAAAAATCGATAAAAAAGTAAAAAAGTATAAATCATGCGCATGTATAGATTAAAACATATATTTTTATTGCAATATCTTTAGAAATTTGCATAACATAAAAAGTCTATAAACATTTTTAAATTTTGCAAATTTCAGGTTTCGGATACAGTTGTAGAACCTTACAATGCCACACTATCAGTTCATCAATTAGTCGAAAACACAGATGAAACATTTTGCATTGATAATGAAGCATTATATGATATTTGTTTTAGGCAAGGGAATTTTTTTTGGAAAGCAATGCTTTCACTGATATGCAAAATATATTAATCAAAAATTTTTGCATTTAAATTTTAGTTACATCACTATAGTTCACAAAAAAAATCAGCATTCAGAGTTCATACCTAATTTTGATCTAAAATTTATTCGAAAATCGAACTTTGATCTAAGTATCAAATTATAATACTTGTCTTTCGTATCAAAACAAGTATTATATCTTGATTTCATGCTATACTAGATTGTTATAGTAAAGATTGTTATCTTCTTTAATATGTGGATTCAAGCAATAAAGGTATTTTTCGCAACACAAAATAAGACATGAATTTTTATTCATACTTTTGGTTAAATGTAAGCTAAATTTTATTTTAGAACATTAAAATTATCAACACCAACATACGGGGATTTGAACCATTTGGTTTCGCTAACAATGTCAGGTGTCACGACATGTTTACGTTTCCCCGGACAGGTTTAAATATTTCCATAGTAATAAATCATATAATTCAATTTAAAAGTCTTTAACTAAAAAAAGTTTTGTTAATATTTATATTTATCAAAAAAGTTTTCACTGATTAAAATTAATTTAGAATTAAAGGATTTATTTCAGTTAAATGCAGACTTACGTAAGCTAGCTGTGAACATGATACCATTTCCACGTTTGCACTTTTTTATGCCTGGTTTTGCACCACTTACTTCTCGTAAAGGTCAACAGTACCGTTCATTAACAGTAGCAGAACTAACGCAACAAATGTTTGACGCTAAAAATATGATGGCTGCGTGTGATCCCCGACACGGCCGATATTTAACAGTAGCAGCAATCTTTCGTGGTAGAATGTCAATGAAGGTGTAATTTGATTTTATTTGTGATCAAAGCATAAAGTTTAACTTTTTCCAACAAACTTGTTCACATTACTTATCATAAAAATTATTACCTCTTGTAAGATGAACTCGTACGTAAATTTTTTCATGTACTTCACGTAAAGTCAAAACTAATATATTTATTTCCCTTACAAAGTAAACAGAAAATATTCCAAAATTTAAAACTTTTTATTTTATCTGAAAGCTTGAAATGCTGCAATTTTTATAAAACAGAGTTTCTTTAGCAGCATCAAAGTTTTGCAGGAAGTAGATGAACAAATGATGAACGTTCAAAATAAAAATTCATCATATTTTGTTGAATGGATTCCAAATAACGTAAAAACTGCTGTATGCGATATACCACCACGTGGTCTCAAAATGTCTGCCACGTTTATTGGCAATTCTACAGCAATTCAAGAACTTTTCAAACGTATTTCTGAGCAGTTCACAGGTTAGTGACTTGACAAAATTACTTAATGGACAAAAGCTATTTTCTCTTAATTTAGATGCAGGTGGCAAGAAAAATCCAAAATAACATTCCAAGTAAACTATATAGTAAAAATATATAAGAATTTAATAAACAACTCAAATTATAAAAATTGAATCTCAACTTTTTTATAAATTTGACAATTAAATTCAATTGTAATATTTACATTGCATATAAGAATTCGTATATTACTAATTTTCAGTATAAATAAGTATTAGAATTGAGTAAGTGAAATCTGTTATTTGAAAAAAATACACATATATATTTGGTGTATTAGCATAAAACTTCAGCGATGTTTCGACGTAAAGCATTTTTGCATTGGTACACAGGTGAGGGCATGGATGAAATGGAATTTACAGAAGCAGAAAGTAACATGAATGACCTGATATCAGAATATCAGCAATATCAGGCATAGTTTTTGTACTATTTTTATAAAATATTATTCAGATTTGTAATGATTTCTATAAAAAACTATTTTCATCAACAATGTATATGCTAATTTTACAATGTACTCAAAATTTTTCAATAACAAAATTCTTCATAAGTTAAGTTTCAATTAATATATGCCATTTTTTTTAAAAACAGGAATGGAAAAAGTTAAAATATTTTTTCTGCTTAATTAATTTTATTAAATAATTCATTCAAAAAGTTATTTCTTATTGCATAACTAATTCATTAGCTAATTAATTAATTAAAAATTTTTTCAATAAATAACTGAATGATTTTGGCACGCATTCAGTAAATTTTAGAAAATGTATGTTGCAATAAACAATTTATAGTTTTTAGGATGCAACTGCAGACGATGAAACGGAATTTGATGAAGAAAGTGAACTTGATATGGAATAGTTTTTAGCAAACTTTACTGTCATCAATGTATCAGTATTTCAATGAGTTATTGCAAACTTTCGTGTATTTTAACAATCAGCTTTTAATAACTTATGAAAAAAAAAACAAAAATACTTTAACAATCGAAATATAAATTGTAGTTGGATGACATAACTGAATTCTTCCAAATCATTTCAATTTACTCTTAAATATCATTTCTGTAATAAAAGTTTTTAGAGATTTACAATCATTTTGTCTGTTATTATTAATCAAAGTTATATTGTGTTTGCTTTTTAATGAAGTGTTATTTCTTTAGTTTAGTACTGAAATAATCCGGTATAAATGTAAAGATAAATGAGCTTTTTTGAGAAAAGTTACTGTCATTTGAGGAATGCTTCCATTTACTACTAATTATATGCATAAATTTACATATATATTTATTTGTAATCATTGAGCGCGCATATTTGTCTGCAATTTTTCAAATTTATCACTCGTTTTTTTATTTGCTAATAAAATATTAATAATTACATTCCATTTATTTGAAAAGTTTTTTTTACAACTGACACTTAAATAGCGTTTACATCATTGCAACTGAAAATATATCGAAATTAGAATAAAAAATGCATTAATGAAAATAAGTAATATTTAATTATGCATCGTAATATAGCGTGTGACTTGTATTCATCAATAACAAAAACTTGCAAAATTTTTTTAGCCATTTTTTTGTTAATAAAAATTGAAAATTACTTAATCGATCGATGCAAGCTTGAGCTATTTGTTGTTTTCATGCTAAATTATTGAGCTTGATAAGCTAGAAATAGCACTAGGTTAGACTGAAAAATGGATTTTATAAAGTCGATAGTCAGTAGTCAGTTCCATAGCTAAGCTTTATTTTTTGCAATGCGAAGCTAGAAAATGAAGTCACTTTGACCAAATGTTCTTTTATGGCTAACATACATGCACGGCACGTATCTGGCTAAACAGGACTAGCCAGATAATTCGATCTTGGCCTTTTTTGTCCATCTTGGCATATCTTCTTCTGCTAACTATTTGCCCACTCTTTAGACCAAAACGAAATTTTACTTCAACTTAGACTGTTCTTCATTTATCTTTCTGTCTAAACTTTATCATAGCTCATCACAATTTTCAGTCTTCATTTTACTTAAAATGTTTTCAAATGCAATTTACAACTGTTACTTTTGATATTACGCAGTTTCATACGTTTAATCTATGCTTTAATACTGAAACAGCAGCACATAAGCTGACACAATTTCAAGTTTGACTTACAACTTAATAATTTAACGCAATATTTGACTATTGAGCTTGTAATTAAAATATTTGACCTATAACCTCAGAAGTTCATTTGTAATTTAGTTCAATAATATCTGTGCTAAGAAATTTAGCTCGTCATATGCAAACTTCTCACTTACTTTTAAACGAGGGAAAAACATGCTATTTTTCGCTGATCTCAGATAAGATTAATCAAAGACGATTTTTGACTTCTGATCTGCCTACTTTTTGCGATTTTTTTTTGTTTTTTAATCTTAAGGTCTGCATTTATTGCATAATTTCGAATTAACAGATAAATAGGTCAATGCGCGAAATTGTGCATATTCAAGTTGGTCAGTGTGGCAATCAAATTGGTTCCAAGGTTTGTTTATCAGTTTAATTCTAATTTTTGTTCAGTTTGTCATAAGTACTTAGCTGGTTTTAAAAACTTTTCTTCAATTTTATAAATGATTTAAAAAAAAATCTTTTACGGTAATTTTATCTAAAAATAAAGTTAATTTTGATAGTTAAAGTTTTATTGGACAAAAAAATGAAGAAAAATGCAAAACTTTGTTGAATGTTCAGTTAAAAGAGTCAATTTCAAGTCTAAGTTTGAATCCAATCAATTTTCTAAGCTTACTTTCTTTTTCTCTTTCTGATATCAAAAGTTAGGCACTGTAATAGCTACTATACCATGTAAGGAAATTGTTAAGTTCTGGGAAGTAATATCTGATGAGCATGGCATTGATCCAACGGGACAATATCATGGTGACAGCGATTTGCAACTTGAACGCATAAATGTTTATTACAACGAAGTACAAAGACAACGATATGTACCAAGGTAAGCAATTACTTTACTTTACTTATTCGTAGATAAATAGCTTTAATTATATTAGCCTATTTTTTCTGTCCTTCAAAGATTTGGTTGTCATTTTTTAATATTTTGTTACTAACTTTGTTTAAAATTTTGATGATTAAGTTTTTATTTATTATATATATATTACTTTGAAAAGATAGTAATAGTAATTTATATAAAAAGACAGTAATAAAAAAAATAGTTAAAAGATAGTAATTTATATATATAATATACTATGTTTTTATAAATTACTATCTTTTTATATTTATATATTCTGTCTTAAAATGCTTTGTTTTATTTTTAACAAGACGTAAATATGTCAGGCTTCACTACTGCAAACTATTTGCGTGTGTAATATCTTCTTGATATTCACAACTTATGTTGGTTATGATATTTTACAGTTCTGAAGTCAATAAATGATATACTAATTCAATTTTTTTGAATAACAAAAGTTACAAAAGTATATAATTTTTCTTAAAAAATTTTACTTTTGCAAAGTTAGTATGGCAAAACAATTGGTTTAATAAGAAACAGTGATAAGAATAGACTACTATATCTATTAGTCTTTTCAAATAAGTAAATTCATTTAATTTTTAGAGCTGTTTTGGTTGATTTAGAACCAGGCACTATGGACAGTGTCCGTGCAGGTCCATTTGGACAACTTTTTCGACCAGATAATTATATTTTTGGTATGCAAAAAAATACTGTTGTTTTTTATAACAGTTTTTATTAAAATTCAAAAAAAATGCAAAGTATGAATTTAAAAACAAATATTCAGATATGTTATAAAAAAATATATTCACTGTCAAACATGTCAGAGTAAATACTTGCATTTAATTCAAGCATTTATTCTTTGCTGTATCGTTTCAGGTCAAAGTGGCGCAGGCAATAATTGGGCTAAAGGTCATTATACGGAAGGAGCAGAATTGGTTGATAGCGTTTTAGATGTAATCCGCAGAGAAGCAGAAATTTGTGATTGCTTACAGGCAAATTTCCATGCTTAATTGTTTTGCATTATTTTTCTTCAAAAATAGCTGGAGAAAGTATTATTATGAGAAAAAACATACATAGCAACTTTTTTGATAACAGCAAAAACAAACGAAAATTCTATAAGTTATTAAAATATTATTTTAAAAAGTTAGTTCTACAGAAGGGAAATTGAGTTTTTCAAATTCGCAGGGAACAGCGCAAAAGTACCAGTATTATATCCAAATAACTATTCTAGGGTTTTCAATTTACGCACTCACTTGGTGGCGGTACAGGTTCAGGTATGGGTACGTTGCTGATATCCAAAATTCGTGAAGAGTATCCTGATCGTATAATGACTACGTTTTCTGTAGTACCTTCACCAAAGGCAATTTTATAATTTTTTGAAAAAATAACCTCAGAAACTTTTATTTGTGAATTCAAATTTTATTTTATTATTATTATTTTCTTTATATTCCACATGTATTTTTATAATTTTCATTACAATTTTTATTTGCTTCTTGAATAAATCAACAGATAAGTGAATAAATAAAAATATACATACACAAATTCAAAAAAAAGCTTAATTGTATGCAGCGTTGAAATTTCGTGGACTAATATTAATACTTTACAAATGAAATACAGTATGATAATATTTGTACAGGTCCTGAGAGGTTACTATTTAAATGCAATTGCAGGTATCGGATACTGTAGTGGAACCGTACAATGCTACATTATCAGTACATCAATTAGTCGAAAATACTGACGAGACATTTTGCATTGATAATGAAGCTCTTTATGATATTTGTTTCAGGTATATATCACTTTATAAATCAAAAATGTTCAGAAACGTAACATCTAAATTTGATACAAATACCAAAACTTTCAAATAAAATAAGTAATTGCTTGTGATACAATTTTCTATGTATTCTTTACTTTACAAGTAAATTTATACATTATCTTAAACTAATATTTGTTGCAAATTGATACATTATTAAACGTACTATGTTAATTTAGACTGAAGAAATTTAAATGAATTTAGAACACTCAAACTTACGACTCCTACTTACGGAGATTTAAATCATCTTGTGAGTGCAACAATGAGCGGTGTTACTACGTGTCTCAGATTTCCAGGACAAGTAAGTTTCATTTCCACTGTTATTAGAATTTTTTTTGTAACTAAACAAGTATCTTAACTTTTAGTCCATTGAATTATAAAAAATACTTCAGTGATGTGAAGATTCTGTAGGTAGCTTTTTAAAAATATTCAAAAAAAGATTTTTTAACTTCATAATTCAGAAAAACTAGATTAAAAAAGATGACGAATTAATCAAAACTTTTTTAAATGATTAGTTTCACTCGTCAACTTTAAAGAATCAGATACTATTCAAAGATTAGTAAAGAGTGAGTGGACAATTAGGATCTGCTATTTATTAAATAGAAAAGTTTCAAATTATATCAAATTATTAGTTTTCTTAATTAATTTATCGATTCATAGTTGATTTGAAGAAACTACTGATGAAAAATGCAAAACATTACAGCTAAATGCAGATTTACGAAAACTGGCAGTCAATATGGTACCATTCCCCAGATTACACTTTTTTATGCCAGGCTTTGCACCGCTTACTTCTCGAAGTTTGTAAAATTTTCACAAAGATTTAGTTAACCTTGACCTAATGAAATATTTAATAGATTCATTCAAAAATATTAAACGTGAATCACGAAGTATGAGAAAGAAATTAAAAGACTTGATAGTATTATTACTAATTAAAATGTAGTCAAAATTTCTTAATTGTTAGTTTAAATTATGAAATTCACATCAAGTATAATTCATAATTAAGTTTACCAATAATTATAAAACCAAAATTTAAAATAACGTATTTTTCAAATAAATAATGCAAAATTTTCAAATTTCTTAAAATTAACTACTTCTTATTCAAATTACTGTTCAAGGTAATCAACAGTATCGAGCAATATCTGTGGCTGAACTAACACAACAAATGTTTGATGCTAAGAATATGATGGCTGCTTGCGATCCACGTCATGGACGTTACCTTACAGCTGCTGCAATATTTCGAGGAAGAATGTCGATGAAGGTTTAACAATTACCAAATTACTGTATAAAATTTGTATTTAGTAAATCTTACGTGAAAACTAATGTGGACATAATAATCAGTCAAAATAATTGGTTCTGTTCTTCAAATTTGAATTCATAAAAATTACCAAAAAAAAAAAAAAA